ATCCTGGAGAAATAAGAGGTGTCATAAGAATAGACATATGTACACCCGTGTTCATCGCAGCATTATTCACAATAGCAATAAGATGGAAACAACCTAAGTGCCCATCAGCAGATGAATGTATAATGAACTATGGTGCATACACAAAATGGAATACTATGCAACGATAAGGAGCAATGATGAATCTGCGAAACATCTCACAACATGAGTGAACTTGGAGGACGTTATGCTGAATGAAATAAGTCAATCACTAAAGGACAAATACTGTATGAGACTATTATAAAAACTCATGAAAAAGTTTACACAGAGAAAGAAACAATCTTTGATGGTTATGAGGGAGGGGGAAAACACTAACCTGACGATAGATAAGTGGTAACTTTGGTGAAGGGTATGACAGTACACAATACTGGGGAAACCAGCATAACTTGACCAAGGCAAAGTCATAGAAGCTTCATAGACACATTGAAACTCCCCGAGAGATGGAGCTATTGGGCTGAGGGCTGGGGACCATGGTCTTGGGGAACATATAGCTCAACTGGCATAGCATAGCTTATAAAGAAAATGTTCTACATCCTACTTTGGTGAGTAGTGTCTGGGATCTAAAAACTTGTGAGCGGCCATCTAAGATATCTCTACTGGTCCCACCTTGTCTGGAGCAAGGGAGAATAAAGAAAACCAAGGACACAAGGGAAAGATTAGTCCAAAGGACTAATGGACCACTAGTACCACAGCCTCCACCAGACTTGAGTCCAGTACAACCAGATGATGCCCAGCTACCACCACTGATTGCTCTGACAGGGATCACAATACAGGGTACCCGGACAGAGCTGGGAGAAAAATGTAGAACAAAATTCAAACTCACAAAAAAAAGACCAGACTTACTGGTCTGACAGAGACTGGAGAAACCCTGAGAGTATAGCCCCCAGATACCCTTTTAACTCAGTACTGAAGTCACTCCTGAGGTTCACCTTTCAGCCAAAGATTAGACAGACCTATAAAACAAACAATAACGCACATAGTTCAACCATGTATATGAGACTAAATGGGCACACCAGCCCAGGAGCAAGGACGAGAAGAAGGAGGGGAAAGGAAAGCTCGACAAATGGAAATAGGGAACCCAAGGTTGAGAAGGGGAGAGTGTTGACACATCGCAGGGCTGGCAACCAATGTCACAAAACAATATGTGTATTAATGGTTTAATGAGAAACTAATTTGCTCTGTAAACTTTCACCTAAAGCACAATTTAAAAAATTAATTAGTTAAGGAATTTCCACCATGAGTATACATTTTGTCCCAGGAAAATGAAAATTTTAATATAATTCTAGAAGAGTTTATGAAGTACAGGAAGAATAATCACTGCCAGAAGAATGTGACACATGAGATCACCAGCTTGGACAACAACAATATTATCTAATAAAAAGCATAATGAAAAAAAAAACATTCCACTTGGATTTCCAAAGATACTTAAATGTGTCATACACTCTATGAATATACCACAGTGTATTCATTCCACTGTTGATGGACATTTGGGTTGTTTTTAGTTTTTTGCAAATTTTTTCTTCCTCATTGTCTTAGATATCTAGTGCTGATATAACAGAAACACCACAAGTGGATGACTTTAACAAACAGAATTTATTCTCTCACAGTTTAGTAGGCTAGAAGTCTGAATTCAGGGTGTCAGCTCTAGGGGAAGGTTTTCTCTCTCTGTCAGCTCTAGGGGAAGGTCCTTGTCTCATTTCAACATCTGTGGGCCGGCATTCCTTGGAGACTTCCATGTGTCTTGGCATCAGCCTTCCCCTGGGTCTAGGAGGTTCTCAGCACAGGGACTCTGGGTCTAAAGGATGTGCGCCACTCTTCGTTCTTCTTTCTTGGTGGTAGTTAGGTCTGTCTTCTCTGCTTCTCTCTCTTTCTATCTCTTGTAAGATAAAAGGTGTGATTTGAGTAAGGTGGTGACTTGAGTAAGGGTGTGACTTGAGTAAAAGTGTGACTTGAGTCACACCCTTTTGTTAGGGTGTGGTCTGATACACCACACTCTAATCATGTCTCACTAACATATAGAGGTTTAGGATTTACAACAACACATAAAATGGAGGATAATTACACAATACCACAAAATGGAGGACAATTACATCAGATCATAAAATGGAGGGAACTTTAGGTTACTGTCTTAGTTTCCTAGGGCTGCCATAACAAACTGCCACAAACAGAAATTTATTGTCTCACAGTTTTAGAGACTAGAAGTCTGATTTCAGGGCATATGCAAGGCTATACTCTCTCTCTGTCGACTCTAGGGGAAGATCCTTCCTTGTCTTCTTTCAGCTTCCGGTAGCCCTGAATATTTCTTGACATTCCGTGGCTTGTAGACTGATACTTACATGGTGTCCTATTCCTGTGTGTCACTCTGTCTGCATGTTTCTTCTCTCCTAAGAAGGGCTTTAGGACCCACCCTACTCCAGTATGGCCTTAACTGATAAAAAAGAAAAACCCTATTTTCCCAAACAAGGTCATGTTCAGAGGAATAGGGGTTAATACTTCAACAGATGTTTTGGGGTGGGGGTAACAATTCAGTCCTTAACAGTTACCTTGAAAGACTCTCTTAAAAATAATGGGGTTGCTTCACTATGCTGGGGAGGTATCTGTTCCAAAGTGGTAGAAAGCAGTCTTCATTAAGAGTTCTAGATTACAGGGTATAAACCAAGGTTCTTATAGCTTTCACAAAACTTATCAGTTGATGCTTTTAAAGTCTTCCTTTGCCTTTGGACTTGAAAAAGCTTGTAATTCTTTAGTCTAAATAAGTGACTGAGGAGAAAACATCAAGGTTCCTCCCTTTCTGACAGGGCTTAAATAAGTGTGTACTTAATTTTTACATTATAAAAATAAACAGTTGCCATCGAGTCACCTCCAACTCATGATGACCCAATGTGTGTCAGAGTAAAACTGTTGCTCCATAGGATTTTCAGTGACTGGTTTTATGAAAGTAGATTATCAGTGCTTTCTTCTGAGGCACCTCTGGGTGGACTTGAGCCTCCAGCCTTTTAGTTAGTAGCCAAGTGCATTAACTGTTTGTACCACCCAGGGGTTCCTTTTACTCTATAGAGCAATTTTATCGTTAAGTGGTATTTATTAACATATTTCTTTATCTTCTGTGTTAATTGCAGGGAGGGGTACAATTATATAAAAGGAAACCAATTCATACTCTATGGCTTATTTTCTTTCTTTTTTTTAAAATTGTACTTTAGATGAAGGTTTACAGAACAAACTAGCTTCTCATTAAACAGTTAGTACACATATTGTTTTATGACATTTGGTTAACAACCCCATGACATGTCAACACTGTCCCTTCTCGACCTTGGGTGCCCTAGTACTAGCTTTCCTGTCCCCTCCTGCCTTCTAGCCCTTGCCCCTGGGCTGGTGTGCCCCTTTAGTCTCATTTTGTTTTATGGGCCTGTCTAATCTTTGGATGAAGGGTGAACCTCAGGAGTGACTTCATTACTGAGCTAAAAGGGTGTCTGGGGCCATACTCTCAGGGTTTCTCCAGTCTCTGTCAGGCCGGTAAGTCTGGTCTTTTTTGTGAGTTTGAATTTTGTTCTACATTTTTCTCCAGTTCTGTCTGGAACCCTCTGTTGTGATCTCTGTCAGAGCAGTCAGTGGTGGTAGCCGGACACCATCTAGTTGTACTGGACTCAGTCTGGTGGAGGCCATGGGAGTTGTGGTCCATAAGTCCTTTGGACTTTTCTTTCTCTTGTATCTTTAGTTTTCTTCACTGTCCCTTGCTTCCGAAGGGGTGAGACAAGTGGAGTATCTTAGATGGCTGCTCACAGGCTTTTAAGACCCCAGACGCTATTCACCAAAGTAGAATATAGAACGTTTTCTTTATAAACAAACTGTTATGTCTGTGGCTTATTTTCTGGTGACTATCTTCATATAACAATTGAAACAGTATATAATCAAACATAAAATTGTGATGTTCAAGCTCATTCCTTGGGTAAAGCAAATAGGATGGTCACCCTGTGCTTTGCCCTTGTTGGTAGAGGATGAGGAGGGGGCACCTTCCTCCTCTTTTCTAAATGCTATTAAAATTCAGTATTGAACCTTTTAGTGTAGGAAAGGGGTAAAGTTTGGGAGGAGGCATGAGAGGGGTTCCTGAGGTGCTGGTAATGTTATATTCCTTTATGTTCACTTTTATACATTATTGATCTATCTGCTTATGTTCTGTGTACTTTTCTGAATGTATCTTAGATTTCAATAAAAATGTCTTAAACAATTGAATTTAGAAATTTCTGTCTTTAGACATCTCCCAAGGGACATGTGAAAGATGTTAATGGTGAAGCTCTGTTCAAGTGCCATTATTTTGCATGGTCTGGCATGGGTTGAGGAGCCCTGCCCTAATGACATGCAGACTCTTAAGTGGGGTTGGAGAACAGTGAAAGGAGAGATTACTGTGGGCAAGAGTAGTCGGGGAAAATATAATAGTCGTTCATTCAGTAGACATTAACTGAGCACAAACCATATACCAGATGCACTACATAGAAAACCTGAAGGAGACCAGAGGCTCACAGGAAAAATAAAGTTTGGGTTATGTCAATTAATTCTGGCTTTATATCTTTGCTAGTCTTTGCAGAGTAACAGAAATGTCAAGTGCTATTTGCTGTTTGCTAAGAGCTTTACATATGTTAACTAATTTCATCTTCACAATAACTCTATGATATAGGCACTACTACTACTGCTAATATACTATTTTATAGATGAGGAAACTGAGGTACAGAGATACATTGCTTGAAGTCCCTCAGCCAGGAAGTAGTGGAGCCTGCTATTCAAGGCCACAGTCTGATTCTCTGTTTCTCTACTCAATATCACTATGCTATTTGAAATGCAAAGAATATTAAGAGAAATGTAGGTTGACATGGAGGCACTATTTGAAAATAGTCCGTGATCCTGCTTCTGGTACTCTGTTGTTTACATGTTTTGGAGCTCTGTGTGAATGCCTTTTCTTCTTTTTACAGACATGGCTGGATCCTGCCAAAGAAATAAGAAAGCAGATTTCTGGTAAGTGGATATGTCCCTTTTTACAGTTATTTCTTTCTTTTAGTTGGTCAGAGGATTTCCTGCTATTTTCTGACAGTGAGTCACTTTAGAATCATGACTATTGCATATGGCTATGAAGTTGAGATAAAACATTCCCCTGAAAGAAGGAAGCAGCAGAGGTAGGCAGATCTTGGTGATTGTTTTATAACCAGGCAAAGTTGGGGAATATAGGAGCAGCTGAGAGTAACAGAGGGTGAACAAGAACAAAGATGAGAAGAGTAAAAGGATATGGGAGTCAAGTCTGACAATGGTAGTGATCAAAACTGCAGTAGCCTTCTCTATTAGGAGTTTAGTGCCTGATCCTGTTCTTTTTACATTGTTCTGGACTTTTTCCATGTTTCCTCTTCATAATTCTTTTTGTCCCTTTTCTACAGCCTCCTTCTAAATTGAAGTATAGGTGACTATGGAAAAGAAAAAAAAGGTAGAATGAGAATTCCTTACCAATAGTCCTTCTGACATTGTGGCTTAGCCCCTACCTTCAAGCCCTCTAGCATGTATTAGTGCTGCGTACTCTGCTCAGACCACTGTCCTAGGATAAATATTTCTAGGTTGAAAAAAATGTAGGTTAGAATTTTGTAGCCCAGGCCCAATGGACTAGCTAAGGGATGGACACTTTTTTTCTTGTTTAAGATTATATGTCCTTTTTAGTTTAGTTTAGTTTTAAGGAAACTTCTAAGAAATTCAATAGTTATAATTCATCATAATTAGTAAGTTTTAATTCTACCAGCTGAAGACAAATTTTATTTTTCATTTGTGACTTTTGTTATGGTGAAATGTTTTCCTTTAGACCTTGCTTATAACTGCTTTAACTTTCTTAAAACAGAAAAACAAAACACTCCTTTGGACTGGCAACTCTTCGTATTTTCTCCCTACCTATAAAAGCTTGTTTTAAAATGCAAGTCAGAGCAAAAAAACATTCATAATATTTGAAACACGATAAGAAAAAATGTAACTCCTAGCCCCTTTCAGTGAAAATACTTTTAACATTCAATATTACTCAGGAACATAGGATTGTGCAAGAGGACTCTACGAGTGGGGAAAAATATCTAGTAGATTATCTTCCTGGCTATAAAAAAATCTCTTGCTAAGAAAAAGAGCCTAAGTCTTTGTCATTAAAAAAAAATTACAAAATAATAAAAACCCTCAATTCAACATGGGGGACTAAAAACATGTTCCTAACATAAACTTTAATAGGAAATCAAAATGTAAACATGTCATTAGGCCAAAGAAAAGAATGACGTTTATCTGTTGCAAAGACTTTTTTTTTATGTTTTTCATCACACATGTAATATATTCCCATTGTGAAAATCGTAAACATTATAGAGATACGTAAAAGGCCCCTAATCCTATCCTCCATATATAATCACTGTTAAATTTGTATAATATGTAATTTTTTTCTGAGTATATACAGATGTTTGTTTTTCACAAATACAGTTTTGCTAGACATAGTTTCTAAAATTAATTTTAAATAGGTAATATAAGTATGTGATACAAAATTAAAAGATACAGATGGATATAGCACAGAGTAAACCCCCTTCTACCCCTGTCCTAGCCATGCAGTTTGCTTTCCTGGAGTAAACCATAGCAACTCATTTCTTGTATTCTTTTCAGAGATCTATTGAGTATATAAAGGCACATATATTTTAGTACAAATATATCTATATCAGTACATACAAATTTGCTTCATTTGTTTTAGACACTAGATTTACATACCAAACAAAACAGAAAAAAGAATTTTGTCCTCAGGAATTTACATTCTAGTGGGAAGAGACAAAGATTACCCTTTAAAAAAAAAAGATATATATATGTATGTATGCACATATATATATGTGCATACGTACACACATATGTATTGTGAATAAGTAATACATGTACATAGTACAAAATTCAAATGACATAAAAGACTATATAATAAAAGTAGGTCTCCCTTTTACCTCTTTCCCCTAGCTACCTAGTTTCTTCCCCCAGGAGTTTTCCTAACTAGTATAATTAGTTTAGTGTATATTCTTATAGAGACATTGTATGCTTATTTACAAAAAACAAACCCATTGCCTTCAAGTGGATTTCGACTCATAGCAACTCTATAGGACAGAGTAGGACTGCCCCATAGGGCTTCCAAGGCTGTAAATCTTTACAGAAGCAGACTGCCACATCTTTCTCCTGCAAAGTTTCTGGTGGGTTCAAACCACCGACCTTTTGGTTAGCAGCCAAACACTTAACCACTGCGCCACCAGGGCTCCTCTATGTATATATAATCATAGCAGTAATATATACTTTTTCCTACTCCCTACCTTCATGGTACAGAGCCCTGGTGGCCCAGTGGTTAAGAACTCAGCTGCTAAACAAAAGGTTGGCTAGTTTGAATCCACCAGCCACTCCTTGGAAACCCTAAGGGGCAGTTCTACTCTGTCCTGTAGGGTTGCTATGAGTCAGAATCGACTCGACGGCAACGGGTTTTGGTTTACCTTCATGGTAGCTTTCTATTTGCACTATTCTTCACCTTGATTATTTTTTCATTTAACACTGTATGTTGGAGATCATTCCATATAGAGCTGCCTCTTTCTTTTTTATGGTCACCTAGCTTTTCAGTGTATAAATCCGTTTGCCCCCAGTTGATTCCTACTCATAGCAACCAGATGGCAGTGGGTTTGGTTTTCAATATATAGATGACCTATAATTTAACTTACCTGCTGTTGAAGACATTTAAGTCATCTCCAGACTTTTTCTGTTACAAAAATTGCCTTGTACAAATATCATTTTGACCACTTTTGAGTATATGTTTACATATATTTGTAGAAATGAAATTGCTGGGTAAAAGGGTATATACATTTTCCCTTTTGATAGATATTGTCAAATTATTCTGCATAGAGGTTGTACCAATTTAGACTCCCGTCAGCAATGGATGAAGGTGCTTGTTTTCCCTACCAACCCTGGGTATTATCAAGCTTTTTTTTAAAATCAGTTATTTAACACAGAGCTTAAGGAGAAAAGAACATACTTCGTAAACTGTTGCTAATTTGATTTCCTTAATGCTATTCTTCCTGCCATTAAAAATTTGCCATTTTATAAAATAACTAAATTTGTTTAAAATCCTTAGACACTGAATTCACATATATTAAACATTCTTTTGGCTATCTTGTTTCCAATATTGATTTGCTCTAGCTAATGCATTTTCATAGGTGGGATAGAGATCAGCTTTTTAAGTCTACATTGGAAATTATGAATTAACAATGGCTAGATTGTTGTGATTTTATCATATCAGAAAGTGAAACAACAGGTGGTATTTTAATATTGGTTTATAGTACAAATTGAAATACTGCCCCTGCCTTTTTTTTGAGAAACAGTTACGGGATTGTTTTTCTCATCTAAGTGCCATATACAGTTTTTGGGAAATGAAACATTAGAAGTGGGTTGGTGATAGGTATTGGGATCTGGCTAGGCTTTGAGAAACTTTTGTTATATTGTCTGGAATTTGCCTTTTAGTTCAAATGTTGAAGGAAAATATTGACTAATTCCAAGGGAACCCTGTGGTAAATATTTTAGTATGCTTAAAACTACCCACTCATCAGAAAAACAAAACAGGATCCATACCTACACCATACACAAAAACTAACTCAAAGTGTATCAAAGACCTAAATGTTCAGGCTAAAAGTATGAAGTTCCTGGGAGATAATATAGGGACAAAACTGTGGGACCGAATTTTCTTTAGAAATAGTTTATCAAACACAACTACAAATACACAAACAACAGAAGACAAATTAGATAACTGTGACTTCCTAAAAATTAAATACTTATGCTCATCAAAAGACTTTCAAAAGACTAAAAAATGACCCTACAGACTGGGAAAAAATCTTTGGGAACAGCATAGCTGATAGTGGTCTAATCTCTAAAATATATAGAAAACTTCAACAACTCAGCAACAAAAAGATAAATAATCCAATTAAAAAGTGGACAAAGGGCATAGACGAACAGACACTACATCAAACAGGACATTCAAGCAGCCAACAAACACATGAAAAGATGCTCTTAATCATTAGCTATTAGAGAGATGCAAATCAAAACTACAATGAGATACATCTCACCCCTGCAAAAATGGTACTGATCAAAAAAACAGAAAACAGCAAATGCTGGTGAGGTTGTGGGGAGATTGGAACCCTTATCCACTGCTGGTGGGATTGTAAAATGTTACAACCACTATGGAAAATGATATGGTGCTTTCTCCAAAAGCTAAAAATAGAGATACCTTACGATCCATCAACCCCATTCCTAGGTATATACCCTAGAGATCTCACAGAAGTGACACGAATAGACATATGCACACCTATGTTCACTGCAGCATTATTCACAATAGCAAAAAGATGGAAACAACCAAAGTACCCACCAATAGAAGAGTGGATAAACAAATTGTGGTACATACATACAGTGGAATACTACACAGCTATAGGGAATAATGATGAGTTTTCAAAGCATAACATAGATGAATCTGGAGGACATTATGCTAAGTGAAATAAGTCAATCACAAAAGAACAAGTATTGTATAATCTCCCTTTTATAAAAAGGCAAGAATAGGTGTACATACAGAAAGCAACATTCTTTGGTGGTTACCAGGGATGAGAGAGGGAGGGAGTGGGAACCACACTCTAGATAGTAGATACTTATTATTTTTGGCGATGGGAAAGGCAATACTGAATGCAGGTGAAGTAGTTGTATCTATAGGCATATGTATGTACACATTTGTGTGTGCTTCGTATGTATAATAAAGCACATAGGGGGCACAGTTATAGATACTTCCTAGACATAACCAAACACCTCGCAGGATTGATTTACTGAGTTTGAAGGCTTAGGACCATAGTCTCATGGGACAACTTGGTCAATAGGCATAACATAGTTTATAAAGCTTACATTCTACTCCCTAGTTTGGTGAGTAGTGTCTGAGGTCTTAGAAGCTTGTGAGTCGCCATCTAAGATACAACTATTGTCTCTACTCATCTGGAGCAAAATAGAAGGAAACCAAAGACTCAAGAAAGAAGCTAGTCTATAGGACTAATAGCCCACACAAACCACGTCCTCATCTATCCTGAGACCAGAAGAACTAGATGGTGCCTGGCTACCACTACTGACCATTCTGACCAGGGACACAATAGATGGCCCCAGATAAAATGGAAGAAAAATCTAGAACAAAACTCAAACTCTTGAAAAAGGCAGACTTAATGGACTGGTAGAGACTAGAGGAACCCCCGAGACTGTCACCCTGAGATACTTTCTAAACTTCGAACTGAAACCACTCCTGGAGGTCACCTCTCGGCTGAATAACAGATTAGATCATAAAATAAACAATATCACCAGTGAATACTGGGCTCTTTTAAAAAATCATTTATCTGAGACCTAATGGTGGACATTTACCCTAAAGCAAGGATGAGAGAAGGTGGCTGAGGGGAGGGGACAGAAGCTAAATTAATGGAAATGGAACAACAACCAGAATGGAAATAATGAGAATGTTAGAAATAATGAGAATATGTATAGAAATTGTTAAATGGGAACCTAATTTGTTGTGTACACTTTCATTAAAAGCACAATAAAATATTACTTAAAAAAAAAAAAAAACTACCCACTCGTTAAGACATTCAAACTGCTTCACTAATAATTTGCATATTATCATTGTCAACTATTAGCAATAAAATTGGTATTTGGAAAGAAATAAATAAAATTGGTATTTGGAGATGAAACCCTGGACACAAGACACAAAGTGATGTTTGACACAAACTTTAATGCTCACAGATGTTTGTAGTAGGATGGTAGAGTTCATTGGTGAAAAGCATGGGCTTTGGAATAAGAGAACCTTGGGTTCACTAGGTGTGTACTTTCCTAGGCCATATATAAAGTAAGTTAATAGTAGTAGTACCTACCTCCTTGGATTGCTGTGACGATTAAATGAATTAATATAAGTAAAAGGGCTAGCATAGTGCCTGGCATGCAGTAAGTACTGAATAAAATGGCACCTCTTAGTATCATAACCAATCATACTTCTTAATATCATAACCAGTCATACTTATTTCTGGCTGATATCTGTCAGGCCTTACTCTTTGAGAAGCCAAAAGTCATGTTAGTTTACATGCAGAAAAACCCTGAGGGATAGCATTCCACTGGGAAAATTAAAATGCATTTTCCATTTAATCTTTATTCATAATCTGATTTTCATTGTGGATCAAAAATATGACATGTATACATGAGTGTCGGGATCAGATTCTTGTAGTTTTCTTATCTAAAATATTTTTATTAGAGTTATAGTTTCTAAGAGCCACCTGTCTTATCTCCTTATTTCTAATCTCCAAATCTCACCTTTTTAATGGGAAGAATGATTTTGCTTATTTGAGATAATATTGAGAGAGATAACAAATAATGCCAAAACCAAAAGAGAACATCCATGAATGATCTTTGAGGGCCTAAAGTATATATAAATCACATTTTGAAAACCACTCGTACAAACATGTTACCTATAGGATGGTTTCCTTCATATTACTTTGCCTATGTAGTTTTAATCCTCTATAAACAAAACTATTATATTAGGTCAGGTAAAAGAATGAGAGAGATCCTCTAACTCTTAAGTGGTATCTAAGTAACTTTCTTCTTTTAGATTTTTTAATAAAAATAATGTTTTACATCAACACAACTTGACCATAGCAAAGTCATAGAAGCTTCACAGTCACATCCAGATTCCCTGAGGGACCAAGCTACTGGGCTGAGGGCTGGGGACCATGGTCTCAGTGGGCATCTAGCTCAATTGACATAACATAATCTATAAAGAAAATGTTCTACATCCAACTGTGGTGAGTAGCGTCTGGGGTCTTAAAAGCCTGCCACTGGCCATCTAAGATACATCTACTGGTCCCATCCCAGCTGGAGCAAAGGAGAAAGAAGAAAACCAAAGACACAAGGGGAAGATTGGTCCAAAGAACTAATGGACCACAACTATCACAACCTCCACCAGACTGAGCCCAGAACAACTAGATGGTGTCCAGTTACTTCTACTGACTGCTCTGGCAGGGATCACAATAGAAGGTCCTGGACAGAGCGGGAGAAAAATGTAAAACAAAATTCAAATTCACCAAAAAAAAAAAAGACCAGGCTTGCTGGTCTGACAAAGAGACTGGAGAAACCCCAAGAGTATGGCCCCTTGACCCCCTTTTAACTCAGTGCTGAAGTCCCTCCTGAGGTTCACCCTTCAGCCAAAGATCAGACAGGTATACAGGGCCTGGTGGTGCAGTGGTTAAGAGCTTGCCTGCTTACCAAAAGGTTGACAGTTTGAAATCACCAACCACTCCTTAGAAACCCTATGGGGCAGTTCTACTCTGTCTTATAGAGTTGCTATGAGTTAGAAGCGACTCGATGGCAATGGGTTTGATTTTGGTTTTTACAGGACCAACAATAATACACATGACGATCATGCTTCATGATTCAGTCGTGTATACGAGACTAATGGGCACACCAGCCCAAAAGCAAAGATGAGAAGGCAGAAAGGGACAGGAAAACTGGATGAAAGTAAACAGGGAACCCAGGGTGGAGAAAGGGAGAGTGTTGACACATCATAGTGTTGGCAACCAGTGTCACAAAGCAATTTGTGTATTAACTGTTTAATGAGAAACTAATTTGCTCTGTAAACTTTCACCTAAAGCACAAAAAAAAAAAAAAAAAAAGAACAATTCTTTGAGACATATGGTGAAAAAAAGTTTACTCCCAAATCATTAAAATATTAAAAGATTTCGGAAAAAATTTTCAAAAAATATTTTGATGTGCTTCTAACAATCAGAAAGTTAGGCATAAACGATAAAATTCTTTTGTATTTATTTTTACAGGTTTCCCTTGGAATTTCACATTTAATGTAAAGTTTTATCCACCTGACCCAGCACAGTTAACAGAAGATATAACGAGGTAAATAATAAATTAGTAGTTGAATATGTAATTTTCATCATCATAAACTCTGGGAATTTCCCTATGCAGAATTGGAAAAAATGACAAGCTATTAAGTAGTTAACTCAAGATAGAAAGTTTCTGGTCATTTTAAGGCAGGCTTGCAAATAAGTGAGCCTGAAAGCCGCAAGTATCTGTGACTTGCTGGTAGAAATTGGCAGAGAAATTAGCTCTGCTTATCTTGGGTTTTTTGCCAAGCTGTGGGCAGGGCTGCTATAAACCATACTACCCTCCAAAGACACAAATATAGTGGTAAAGTAAATAGCTCCAGCTGCTTTTTTTCTTTTTTTTTTTTAATACTCTTTCCCCTAGGCTAGAAACTTCAAAGTAGGGATCAAAACAGCTAAAATCTCTATTTTATTGTTCTTATTTCTTCCTATCTCCCCTGTATATAATTAGGTACATGATTCTCATGAACTGAATCTTCCTCAGTAATTTTTTAGTTTCTTAATTTATAAGATAAATCTTGTACTCTTTAAATAAAAGTCTACTGGTTTTTTATTGGGCCTTTATTGGGATTCTTTAAATTTCTATAAAAATTCTATAAAAATGTTAACAAAGAAAGAAAGAAAATTAAAAAGCAGCATATTAGAAAGAGTTCTACTCTACATATTTGTACCCATAGCATCTTGCATGGAGCCTTACACATAATAGGTGCTTGGTAAATGTTTGTTAAGTTGAACCATTAGTTGTCGAGAAACTTGCTTTCTAATTCTGATTTTGCTGTCAACTATTAGATTTTGGGCAAATTCACAGTCTCTGGGCTTTGGTTTCCATAACTCTAAAATAAGGGAGTTGACTAAATTCTTAAAAAGTCTGATTGTTAGGTTCTGTGAAAGTCTATACCATTTTTTAAAATTATTACTCGTTGTCTAGTCATCCTTAGTACATTCTTGAAGTTGAGATACAATATGTCTGCTTAAAAAAATTATTTTGGTTATTTCCTTTTCATGACATATTTGTCTCTTAGTGTTACTACTTACTCTTCTTTCTTCATCCAGATTTATTATGTATAAAACAAAACAAATCCCCCCAAATCTTTGAAAATAACCAATGTTTTAGAGGAGTTTAAGATTCTTGTGACTTGTGTGGCACTGCTCTTTTAAAAAAAAAAAAAATGTATATAGTAACTAATTATAGATAGCAAAAAATATTGTTAATGCATATATTATTCAACATCTCACTATGGTTAAAGAAGGCTATGATTCTAATTAATAGAGAATTGTCAGTTTAATCACACTTCCCAACTTTCTTGACTGGTAAAACAGTCTGAACTGGTCAACTCCGTCAGTTAGAACAAGTGCTAAGGAGGCCAGGGTCATACGTGTGAACGTTCTGACAGAGAAGTGTCTATTATACAGTTGAGGCATTCAGTTGATGTTTGTTGAACCGAGCTGTTCTAACCCCAGTCTGAACAGTTAAGCACATAGGTAGAATTACGCTTACAAAGTGGCTGATGATAATGTGTAGAACGCTGCCTGCAACTTAGCCCATCTTGGAGGAAAATACCCCAAATGCCCATATCCAGTGCATATGAGTCAATAATATCATCTTTGTATATGACGGATGATATCTGCACATTTGGCAAAGCAGTGTGATAGACAAAAAAGAGCCTACTTTTGGAGCCAAACAGCTTTTATTACTGTCTGATATTGAGCAAGCTAAGCCTCTGAGGCTGCCTTCTCATTTATTGTCTGACAGTGATATCCACCTCACAAATTTGTTGTGAAGATTAGATGAGATAATTTATGTATATATGGTACTTTATACGCTATGTATTAAAATACTAATTTCTTTACCTCCTTCAGACTTTTCTTAATTTTTCCTCTTTTCTTTCTAAACTACTTTTTTGTTACAGAGTTCAACATAGTTATAGTTTTTTTTTAACTTTTTATATGGAAAAATTTCAAATATACAGAAAGGAAGAAATGCAGTAAACAGCTATATACCCACCACCTAGATTTAACGATTGTTAGTATTTTATATTTACTTAGTATCATTTTTTAATCTCTCTTTCCTTTTTTCCCCCTCTACTTCCTTCTCTCGTTTCCCTCTTTTCTTCCTTTTTCTCTTACACATGTTGTTATTGTTGTTGCTGACATGGTAACATCTTTTCTCTTTTGGCTGTAGATATTATTTGTGTCTTCAGCTTCGGCAGGACATAGTTGCAGGACGTCTGCCCTGTTCCTTTGCTACCTTAGCATTGTTGGGTTCTTATACCATCCAGTCTGAGCTGGGAGACTATGACCAAGAACTCCATGGTGCGGATTATGTTAGTGATTTTAAATTGGCTCCAAATCAGACCAAGGAACTTGAAGAGAAGGTCATGGAACTGCATAAATCATACAGGTGAATATGGCTCCAGGGTTTGTTCTGTGTTTATTTTGACAATAAATTTAAACCCTTGACCTGGTATTGATTCAGTCTTTGCCTTAGAGGGAGCATGATGTGGTAAAGTCAACCTGAGTTCAGTTTCCTCTACTGTTTGACTTTGGGCAAGTTATTTAAACCCTCTGAACCTCAGTTTTCTTGTCTGAGTAATGGGAGTTATGCTGTAGGTTGAAAACTAAATGAGGTAATATATATAAAGCACTTAGCACAGTGCTTGGCACATAGTAGGTGCTCCATAAATGGTAGCTATTATTATTATTGCCATATTTTTCCCCCAGATTTTAATCTTCTTATACTATATTAGAGTCCCTGAGTAGTGCAAACAGTTAATGCAATTGGCTGTTAAATGAAAGGTTGGCAGTTTGAGTCTACCCAGAGGTCCCTCAGAAGAAAAGCCTGGTGATCCACTTCCAAAAAATCAGCCATTGAAAACCTGTGGAGCACAGTTCTACTCTGATGCACATAGGGTCACCATGAGTCAGAATCAGCTTGACAGAAACTGGTTTTTTGGTTTTGTACTCTCTTAGGTGCCTTGAGATCATTAGAGCAAGGGTTCTTAATTAGGAATCCATTTACCTGTGGATGGGTTTTAGACAGCCCATGAAATTCCTGAAGATATTTTTAAAAGTCTTTATGTGAATATGGGACAATGTGCATTTCTCCTGGGAAATGTGCTTTCCTCAGATTCTGAAAGGGGTCTAGGATTCAAAAAGAGTTTAGGAGCCCATTGCATCAGAGGAAAAGCATTGTTAATGTACTGACATGATAATCAATACTTCAGGCTGTTTCAAAGGGAGAGGTAGGAAGACATTTGTTCTCTTCATTTGTCCTGGTAACTCTGCCCTGCTTCCTGCTTCCCCAGTGAGCTTCGTTTATTCAGGCTGACTCCACAGAACAAACTGAAAATGTTCAGAATGTTGGGGGATAGATGAGTGGCCAACAATTCAGTAGTCATTAATTCATCCAAATTATCCAGTTTATTAAATTTATTGGCTATTCTGCTTTGTTCACAGAAACAGTTAGTAAGGTTGGGAGGTATCATAACACAGTGATTAAGAGCAAGGGCTAATAGTCACACTGAGCTGGGTTGAAATCCTAGCTCCACTTGTGACCTTGATAGTTCACTTTTCTGAGCCTCATGCTCCTTATATGTGCGTTGGCGACCATTACCTCAGAGCAACAGGGTGATAGCTAGGATTAGAAAAGGTATTATATGTAAAACACTTAATACATGTCCTGCACATAGTAAAGATTCAGTAATGTTAGCTAGTACTAAAGTGCCAGAATAATGTTTCTTCCTACCAAACATCCCAATTGTTAATTGAGTGACACGTTACAATTAATAGCTAAATTTTACAAGCTGCCTTAACTTATTAATGTGAATGTTTGATATTGGGTGTGAGTTAGTACCCTGTTAGGTTAGCATACATTAGGTTACCAAACTCCAAAGGGTCACACTGCTCAAAGAGAAATACAAAAAGTGGTCTTGGTAGGCTTGCTATGGGAGTAACAAATGTTCTGTCTAGCTGTTGAGCCATCCTTTTTTCTTTGAGGTGGTTCCAATAGGACTGCATGGATTGGGATACTTCAAATAAGAGAGCTTTAACTCAAGGTGCCTCAATTCTGGATGCCTTATTGCCCCTGTAGGTTTAGGTACCTCACTCATGAGAACCAAAATAAGAGCTACTTTAAAGTCTACAACCTACATAACAGTAGTCTTAAAAGAATCATTCAACTCTCATGGGATCACATTATTTCCAAAGAGAATTGCTATGATTTGCTTTTCAAGTTGGGGCCTATACATCCCAATGCACTGATGTCTGGGGCTTCTAAATACACCATTTTCAATTTGTTGATAATTGTAACTTAAGGATGTTGTATTGTCTTTGGATACTTTTAAAAATACTTCTACTTCTACTCTGATTATGATTTTTTTTTTATTTATAGACACACACACAAAAGAAAGTAGTGGAATGAAAAAATCAGTGAAAATAATTTGATTTGTTGCAATGGCAGAATTGTAGGGGAATGTTCTTTTTACTTCTAATAATTTTTATTAGTAGTAGTATCATCTTTGGACAATCAGTAAAACAGTAAAAGAAAGTATTTTACTGCTGCCATATAGTGTAACAGCAGAAAATAGTTATTAATTAAACAAGTGATGCCAGATTATGATTGATACCTTAAATGTAACTCTGATGACAATTTTTTTAAAATTGTGCTTTAGGTAAAAATTTACAGAGCGAATTAGTTTCTCATTAAACAGTTAATACACATATTGTTTTGTGACATTGGTTGTCAACACCACTATGTCAGCACTCTCCCCTTCTCGACCTTGGGTTCCCCGGTTCCATTCATCCAGCTTTCCTGTCCCTTCCTGCCTTCTTGACCTTGCCCCTGGGCTGGTGTGCCCATTTGGTCTTGTGTACATGGTTGAACTACATGTGTTATTGTTTGTTTCTTATACGACTGTCTAATCTTTGGCTGAAGGGTAAACCTTAGAAGTGACTTCAGTTCTGAGTTAAAAGGGTCACACAAAAAAAGACCAGACTTACTGGTCTAACAGAGACTGGAGAAACCCAGAGAGTATGGCCCCCGGCCACCCTTTTAACTCTGATGAATTTTTTAATGGTTATTTGATCATAACAGAATTTCATATTTGAGAGGACTTCATATAGTCTTAACTGGCTTCCAACGCTTGACTCTCCTTTATAGTATTACTTCATAATCATCATCATAATTATAAGCAGCTAATTATTGTTTATCTATTATTATGTGTCAGATACCATGCTGAGCGCTTTATGTAAAGTATCACATTTAATCTTCATAACCACGCGTTGAGCTAGGCCAGTGTTTCTCAAAGTGTGGTCCATAGACCCCTGGGAGCCGTCAAGATTCCTTCAAGGGGCTCATGTAGTTAAAATTATGTTCATATAAGATGTTAAATGGGTGGAACACAAATCAAGGCAGTGGCATCAAACTGTACTAGTTGCATATTTTTCATCAACATGCAGTTGAAGTTAAAGTCCAGTTCACGTAAGAATTTCTTTAATGAAACAGTAAAAATTGTTAATTTTATTAAGTCTTGAATACATTTCTATTTAATATTCTGTGTGATTAAATGGGAAGCACATATAAAGCATTTTTGCTGCATATTGAAGTAATAGTTGCCTTGAGGAACAGCACTTGTGCAGTTGAATGTCAGCTGAAGTAACCACTTTTTTTGATGGAACACCATTTTTACTTTAAAAAATGACGCACAAACCATTGTTATTCCGACTTAGTTTTTGGTAGACATTTTGATGAAAATGAATGAAGTGACCACTACTTGAAGGAAACCACTGACAGTGTCTGTTGTCAATGATAAAATTCAGTCTTTCAAGATCATGTCAAGTGCCACCATGATCTTGATAGCTTCCGAATACTTAAAGACTTCTAATAACATTGCTGGTGATATTAATAAGTGTGTTTTTTTAATATTGTATAATGAAATGTGTCAATATTTCAAATACCCGCATAGCTCAGTGAGCCAGTATTTTTCCAGATATAGAATGCATGATGTTACAAAATAATGCATGGGGAGAAGATCTATTCAAAATGCAAGATAGATGTGTGGATTTAAATGTAACAGAGTACAAAAAGTTCATTGATTTTTTTCAGATTTCACATTGCAACTAACCTTTACAAAACTGTCCTTGTTGAGTTTTGGTGCAGCAGTATTCTTAATTATCAATCCTTCCTTTTCCAACTACATAACTGTATGAAATCAAATTTTCTTCATACTCTACTCACAAATCAGCATATCACAACAGACTGTAGAAGCAGATATGAGAACCTAGCTGTCTTCTATTAAGCCAGACAATAAAGAGATTTGCAAGTATATAAAACAATGCTATTTTTCTCACTACATTTTTTGGGGGAAAATATTGTTATTTTTTTGCAAAAAAAATGTTTTTCTGCGCTAACTAGGCAATAGATAAGTGGTAACTTTGGTGAAGGGTAGGACAGTACACAATTCTGGAGAAGTCAGCATAAGATCATGGAAGCTTCACAGACACATCCAAACTCCATGAGGGACTGGGCTGAGGGCTGGGGACCATGGTCTTGGGGGACATATAGCTCAATTGGCATCACGTAATTTATAAAGAAAATGTTCTACATCCTACTTTGGTGAGTAGCGTCTGGGGTCTTAAAAGCTTGTGAGCAGCCATCTAAGATATTCCACTGGTCCCATTCCATCTGGAGCAAGGGAAAATGAAGAAAACCAAAGAGACAAGGGAAAGATTAGTCCAAAGGACTAATGGACTACAACTACCACAGCCTCCACCAGACTGAGTCTAGCACAACTAGATGGTGCCCGGCTACCACCACCAACTGCTCTGATAGGGATCACAATAGAGGGTCCTGGACAGAGCTGAAGATAAATGTAGAACAAAATTCTAACTCATGAAAAAAGACCAGACTTACTAGGCTGACAGAGACTGGAGAAACCCCGAGAGTATGGCCCTTGAACACCCTTTTAACTCAGCATTAAAGTCACTCCTGAGGTTCACCCTTCAGCCAAAGATTAGACAGCCCAATAAAACAAAACCAGCTCGGGCAGGGACAAGAAGGCAGGAGAGGACAGGAAAGCTGGTAATGGGGAACCCAAGGTTGAGGGGGGAGAGCGTTGACATGTCGTGGGGTTGACAACCAACGTCACAAAACAATATGTGTATTAATTGTTTAGTGAGAAATTAATTTGCTCTGTAAACCTTCATCTAAAGTACAATAAAAAAAAAGAAAAATATGTTTTTCTTCTTAAAATGTAATAGGTTTATTATTGTTATTTTTTACAGAATTAATATTTTTAAATTTCTCCGTTTTAATTTCTAATTTGTTAAATATTGATAGATATAACCTACATAAAGAAAAACTCATTGGAGTTGGCAATAATTGTTTAGAGAGTAAAGGAGTCC